AAAAAAAGAACGAGTTGAATTTAGCTATCAAATGATCAGTTATAAGTGAAAGCTCGGAAGACCTTGTACGGAAATGTGCAAACAAAGTACTCTGCGGTTTTACTATCGTGAGGTTTTGCTAAACTTTGGAAAAAAATTTGTCGCGAAATGTTTTGATGCTGATTGGCGCAGATTGAATTTGAGGAATTACTTTTTATAAAGAACTGATGATGCTGTTGTTCTTTAAAAGTGGCTACTGTTCCAGTTTTCTTTTTTCATTTTTTAGTGGGACTTATTGACCTCTAGTTTTTAAACCCATTTCTGTTCAGCTTTATCCCCCGATGCTGAGTCAAGTATTATGCGAGTAATCAAATAGTGGTCGGTTTTTTTAATGAAGTTTCAATTTCGAATTACTCATGGGGAGTTTTCTGTGATACGTGCTTCTCTCAACCTCCGTCTTAACTTTGCTACTCAGTTATAAAGGCTTATTATTGTGGAACTAGCTTCTTTTGTTTGGGTTGTGTGCTGTTATTAGCCTGGCGCACGTTCTTTCTTGGAGAAGCTGGAACAGTTTTTTCTGAATCGGGAATTTGAGTGATGACTAATTGCTTTATTGTTGATTTGCAGTTGGCTACTTACAACAGTTAATTGATTATGTCAAGAAAGTGCAGTACGGTGAGATTTCAACTATTGTTGGAAGGTATTACGCTATGGATCGGGATAAGCGATGGGAACGAATTCGAGTACGTACTTTGAAAATAATTCTCTGTCATGATTTTTTCCTTATCACTTTAAAGAATGCCTGAAATTTAGGTGGCTTACGATGCTCTTATTGGTGGTATTGGAGAAAAAACGACTATTGATAAAGCAGTTGATGCAATCAAAAGTCGTTACGCAAAAGATGAAACTGATGAGTTTTTGAAACCCATAGTTTTAAATGATGAGGGACGGACTAAAGGTATGTCTTAATTTTCTTAGCTGGATGAGGACTTCATAACGCTTTAAGTGAATGTGTTTTAGATGGTGATACTGTAATATTCTTCGATTACCGTGCAGATCGCATGCGTCAGATTACAGAATCAATGGGGATGGAGCGGTATAAGGATTTACATTCTGAGCTTCCTCACCCGAAAGATATGGTGATTTTTTAAAATCATTTTTCTCCTAATGGATTAGTCCTGCTACCTTTTCCTTTCAATTTCTTTACGTGATTTGAAGTTGTTTGTGTTTTCAACCGTTTATTAACGTTCAGCAAGTAATTGGAATGACTCAGTATAAGGCTGAGTTCCCGTTCCCTACATTGTTCCCACCTGAGAACCACGTCAATGTCTTGGCTGAATGGTTATCGAAACAAGGATTAACACAATTCCATTGTGCAGGTGCGTTTTCTAATGATTTTGATGGGCTGATTTCCTTTTGTAAATATTTGTCTTGGTTCCTTTAAATTCTAAGGTTACACACTGTACGTGTATTGTTACAGAAACCGAGAAGTATGCACACGTAACATTCTTCTTCAATGGTGGTGTTGAGAAACAGTTTGAGGGAGAGGAAAGATGTCTAGTTCCGTCTCCAAAAGTGGCTACATATGATCTCCTTCCTCCGATGAGCTCTGCTGGTGTCGCTGATAAGGTTAGTGCAAGAATTTATATACTCTTTTTTTGCCACTTTTTTCTGCGTCAACTTTTACACTTTATTCGTACCGAATTACGGTTTTTGAGTATTTCATGTAGGTCAAGATATGAATTATTCCAACTTTAAAGAAGACTCTTAAAGCGTCACTTTTTCATTAAGAACTAGCTTTACCAGTTTTGTGGGTTTTAAATAAGCTTTAGGCATTTCACATCAGATCACGCTTACTCCAGTCACTGTTTTATTTTTTTCAAATTCGATGAACTTCCAGGTTTAAATTGTGGGCAGAAGAGTTTGCCTCAAGAGGTATGAAAAGGGGGATATTACTAGAGCATTCTGAAGTGTGGGAAAGGCATATTTTTTTACATGGCATAGCCGTGTTTGGAAGATGAAAATTTTTTGTATTTATAACAGCCTTTATGATGTCTGTTTCCTCTGACAAGTCGTTCCTGGTAAATTCACAAAGCTTGTTAGCCATTTGTAAATGAAATATCGGAACTATGGATTAGGCTTGAAAAAAAACTTGGAACTGCAGGATGTGCAATGAAGCTGGCTTGCCAAAATTTCTGTACTTGTAGCGTATTTTGACTACTCTGAAGGCATGAACTTTGTTTTCTTTCTAATAATTCGTAATTTGTGAGGTTGTAAAAGAGCGCCTGCACGAGGGATTTTTGAACCTCATTGTACGTGAGAAAGCCGTACAAATTTGCTTTGATGTAAGAAACGTGTTCTAGAATAATTTTTAGAATTGAGCTATGTTAGATGCGACATTTTAAAATACTGTTTCGTTCTAAATTTTTTTTTTTTTATTTGGATACTCTTTAGCTGCTGAATACTTTTCTTTTTCAGAAGAGAGCCTGTAAAAAGCAGTAAACGTCTTTGAAATCTGATACGAAAAGTTACATCTCTCCGGGGTCAGAACTGTTGTTTAGAAATCTACCTACTTTTGCATTTTGGTGTCTGACCTTGTTTCCTGCATTGTTTTTGAGATAAGCTGTTTGGACTTCCAATCCAAGCTTAAGGCGTGAAAGTTAGCGAAATAAGTTTAGAAATTGTGTAATTGAACGTTAATCCTCTTACATCTTTAAGGTCATGGCGAAAATTTTCCGTTATGTCCCACTTTGGCTAACAGTATACGAATATTTACTTCTGAATTAATTTGAGCTTTGACTAATGTTTCGTTTCTTTTTTTATACATACAGTTTATCACAAGTTTTTTCTTCCGCGCTTAGATCGAAAAAACTGGGGAGAAGTTCTGTAATGCAAGTTAATGTAGTTCGTTTGTTTTTTGATTGTCTCCTCTAGCCGACACCGATATTTTGGCAACGGTTTCGCAGCGTTAGGGAAGGATATGAAAGTGTGAAGCATTTGCGATAATCTGTAAATTACATTTTTTGATCACTCAAACCTGTGTAAAAAAGGAGGATTCTGGACCAAGTTCAATATTTTCACCTTTTTCTGGAAGTGCAGGAAATTGTGTGGAAGATACTGTGGGACTTCTCCAAATATATGCTAGAAAAACTTTATAAAAACGAATATGGAACTGAGAAAGAAGTTCTGTAAAGCAAGTTAATATAGTTCAGTTGTATTCGTACCAAGTATTGGAAATTGCGTTATAATTGGTATTAGTCTTTGAAACCTACAATGTTTGCTTCTTCTATTGACTGGTATTTGAGGACTTTAATACGAGGAATTCCGAAAATGAAAGTGCAGTTCAGAGGAGATAATAGGAGCGCAGAGTATTATAGTTTATAGGTTTTTAGGTTTTGGATCTTAGAAAATGTGTAAGAATTTTATTATGAGACAGTGGGAACCTTTTCGACACTTTCGATTTCTTTTTATTTTTCAGATGGTAGAGCAGCTGAATTTGAAGAAGCATCCGTTTGTAATGTGCAATTTTGCACCTCCAGATATGGTAGGCCATACTGGTATTTATGATGCAGCTGTGAAAGCCTGTGAAGCCACGGGTAAGTTGATTTTTACATTGAGGTTTTCTTTTCTTTGAACGGTTATTGACTTTGTTGAGAATTACACGCACTTTTTGTCATATAGAGATCAATTGTCAAGTTACGATTAATGTGTCCAAGAGTTTGATAAATCTGGAAATAATTGTTCAAAAAACTTAGTTCTGAGTTCTCATCACCCAACGAACTTCAATCTGCTTTCCAAATTATAAAAGCAAAATCCTAAAATTTAGCAAGGAAATGTCGTCAGTAGAATTAAGAAATGTGAACATTTACTTTTCGACAGACAGACTTACAGATTGTTAACGCTGTTCTTACCAAGCTGAAGTCTGGGTTTTCTTTATATTACTGACTGGGACTAATGAAAATTTTCTTCTTGATCAAATTCTTTCTATTGACCTAAATGAGAAAAGTTTCCATTGGTTGTCACAGTTTAGTAAAGGAGCTGAAAAATAACAATGATAAAGTACACAAGGTGAAGGATTCGGCTTATTTTCATTTACTTTAGTTTCACAATTGACCTTTAATATTTTCATTATTTTTCTTATGCATACGGTAGCGAAATAAACTGGTTACAAATTTATAAGTTCCTGCCACTTTTAATCTTTTTTTTTTGGAAACTAGTAGGAGGATGTAACTTTATTTGCTAACTAGTGAGAATATTTATTTATAGACACTGCGATTGGCAGAGTTTATGAGGCGTGCAAGGCTAATGGCTACATTTTAATGGTAACTGCCGATCATGGTAATGCCGAGAAGATGTTGGACCCTGTTGGGGGAAAACATACCGCGCACACGTGTAATAGAGGTGAGCAAATAAAAAAAGTAGATGAATTTATTTTATTATTAATGACTGATTTAGATGTGAATTAAACGCTGGTTCATCTTAGCTTTTTCTTTATTTCGCGTCTTACAGCTGTTGTTTTTTCAGTCCCCTTCACATGCAGTTCTGACAAATTCGTATTCAAAAAATCGCTACCAGATCGTGCAATGGGATTATGTGACGTAGCTCCAACTGTTTTACATGTAATGGGATTGCCAATACCACCAGAAATGGGTGGCTGCTCACTGGTGGATTCTGTTTGAATGCTTTGACAGACGCAGAATTTTTACCGTATTTGGTCTGCTAAATTTGGTCATTACTTTTTGCATTGAAAACTATTAGTGTAGGTGAGGGCCACGGAATTCAGCCTATTGAGTTGTTTTCAATATGTGCTTTGAAGAAAAAGGATGAGCCATCTTTAAGAGTTTCTTTGGAGGTATATTTGGTATTTGGGACTTGTAAATCAAATAGTTTTTACGTGTTCTAGAGTTCGTTAGATGAAAGTCTCTTGATAGATGCTTTCGTTAGTGAGGAGTGGATAAAATAAAATTTGTTTACTATTGTAGCTGTGATGATTTAAGAAGTTAGTTTCTTCACATTTATTAGTTTTCAGGATGTTTTGCTCTAAGCAAGTTTTTGTCTGATGTTTTTTTTTTTCCATAAAAAATTCGATTTGTTGTTTAGTTAGAGGTACGTTTATCACGCCATTTTGCCCGGTATTAAGTGGGAAAAGCTCTTTCTTTCTAAAATTGCATGGCAAGATGATAGACCATTAGTGTTGTATTAGTATACGTTTATTGGCTTGTTTGATGTTAATGTAATATTGCAATAATAAGCAACTAATTAAATGATATTTAGCCATCATATTGAGATTTTGATGTGGCGGGCTTTGTTGGACGAAAACTTGGAGGCTAGATTGCTTGCAGTCGAAAATCAGTGAGTAGCATAATTTCTTGGAGAATCAGTAACCGTATGAAATTTAGATACATCCCAGTTGTAGCTGGTCAGTGGCTGAAACGGAAATCAAGAAACGGGTTCAGCAAATGGCGGGTTTTCGCCTGTATGGGCCCTTTTGGGACTTTTCAAATTTATCTTTGGTTTTAAGGCTAACAGATATTTTTCTGAGTGTAAGCAGCGGTTGCCTCTAGCTCTTTTCCTCCCCCTCTTTACTGGTGGAGGTCTGGAAGGGACGCGCTGAAATTTCCGCTAAATTATTCGCTTTTCGCTCGCACGCATCACCCACAGTGTGGCAGCTAATGACAAGCTCTTTTACTGGAGAGTTGGTCAGGAGCCTTACCTTGCAAAACAGAGAGTTATCAAAAAGCAGGACCGTGAACAAACGGTTAACCAGTTAAGCATTATAATACTAATCTTATAACCGGATGACGCTATAAGCTGCCAAGGCGCACAACTTATGAAGTGTACAATAAAAGACCGGTGTGAACCCAAAGTCAACCGACATAAACTACTGCAGACGCAAGAGTGAATCCCTAAATATTACAACTAACTGAACACTTGCGATAAGGTGATACAATTGTATTAAAGGGCACTGAACAGAGGCTAACTAAGCTATACAATGACTGCGTAACAAAAACATATAATATGCCATAGAAAGAAACACTGGTTACTGGACATTTGGTTTCCTTCAGTACAATATGAAGAGTTAAAAATCCAAACGATGCAAATACATATGCCAAGAGAAATGAAATAAATACGAAAAGAGTAATAATAAACAAACAAATTTTACCATAGATTAAACTTACAGAAATTGAAACCCTACAAGCTGCACCTGGGCACAACATACAAGGTAAAACAGATACTGGAAGAGAGCTAAATAAAAATACCAAAATATCGAGAACTGAGAATAACCACCAACTCTCTACAGAGCTCGTACAGTTGTGGGTCGACTACCTCTACCTCTTCCTTTTACCTACACTCGTGTTGCTGAGGACAACTAGCATAATCCCTAAGATTGCCTGCTTGAGGTCACGTCTAGTGCCATTACCGTCTCGGGTCCTTAAAGCCATTTTGTGCGCTGTCATTACATTCGAGAACGGGGAGCGGAGAGGAGCACTTTAGTAAAGACGACATCACTTGGGTTTGGGAAAGGTATTTGTTTCAGAATGAGGTAAAACTGTAATATGAGGTATATTTAATCAAGAAGTAAACTTAAACAAATTTTTCCACAGACGGAAAACATGTAAACAATTCAAAAACATTACAAAAGTGAGATATAGCTCATTGGATCTCCTGAATTATTTTCTCTGTTTCTAGTTTCCGGGATCCTGAGTTCTTCTCGGCTTTGGATCTTTTAACACTTCCCTTTTTTTTTGGAGGGGGGATACGGTTCCTTAAAGGCCTCGGTTTAAAACGTACAAAAAAAAGAGAAGTAAGGAAAATGAAGAATAAAAGACAAGAGTAGTCTTTTGAAAAACAAAGAGCAAGAGTAAAATATAAAAATGAACCAAAAACGAAAAAAAATGGAAGCTAAAAAAACCAAAGGAGAAATAAAAACTGAGAAAAACTGCACACCAATGCATGGTTGATGTAAAAAAGAGAAATAAAAATTCTGAAGACATCTAACAAAATTTCAAATAAATGTTAGGTTTTGTGAAAACTGAATTAAAACGAAAAAAAAGCAAAAGAAACCTTGGACACATACACATTCTGTCAAAAAAAAAAAAAAAAATTACAAGAAAATCTGGTCATAAGTCCTCCACTTGCGCCGAAGAACATTCCTCTATAACTGGAGTATGATGTATTTTCACCATCCGTTATTCGCAAACCTTCACCCATTTTCATCCATTTGTATGACAACTGTAGCTTATTTATGCACCTCAGACACTTCTGTTTACGGCCTATAAACCTCTAATCAACGCAATAACTCCGAATCGCCAATTAAAAACACGCTTTCTGCAGCTCTTGAAAGAGCGCTGTGGTTCATCAAAGACCTAAAATATCGATGTTCTGATGAACACTGTTCCGTGCTCCACAAGCTATGACAACAACGGAAAAGTCAAATTCGCATCCTTTATAGCGACTCTACATATCCAGGTTCCTGGGTCCAGTTTCATAACGCTTGTCATCAAGTCATTACATGGAACCGCCACTGGAATTTTTTCGAAAATAAGCCTTTGCTCGATCGCCACCACATTACTATGCAAATCATTCGATCAGCTTCCTTCCTTTAGTTGAGTACTTCTCCCTTGAGGTACGAAGCATTATAATTCGGATCTTAGCGTTTCGGACGGAAAATCTGAACTTACCCCAATATAATCTGCCTTCTGTTTTCCGAACGGGCAGCGATTGTCATCGATATTACGCGTCTGATAGGGCTTCTTTTAGTGCCGAGTGGCTCCACATGTTTTCCTACCAGGAATACGTGCCTGAATGATGCATTTTTGGCCAGTCTCTTGGTCGCTCTTTTTACTGGTACATCCATTGGTTCAATTCCGATCGAAGAACTCGTAATTGAATGATCTCTTAATTTGTACGTTAGATTCAACAATTTATTCAGTTTGGTTTATAAAATAAACGGTGCAATTTCTAAAAGCGTACACTTTTTTTGTCGTTTACATCTAACATTAAAATTACACAACCGTTCTTCATCTGCGATAAAGCGTAGATACCCTGTCAATGTAACTTAACTTTCTCCGACTAACTTACCAGCACTCCCTGACACTAAAAATAAGAGTTATAAATAACACTACTGACTTCTTTTTTAAGCATAACTAATATCACCGTTGGAAAAAAAATAAAAATTTGTGAGGAGTTACTTCATAAATATTTAGCATAATCAAACAAGATTATTAAATGTCGAAGTTGAAAATGTAAAGTAACTCCAAAGACAATCCCTGGCAAAAAAAACCAGATTTATACACTAAAAAATTAGCTAGCTCTGCAGAGCTACATGAAACTAGAATAAAATAAAAGTAAAAAATAAAAAATAAATTTAATTTGAAACAAATTTAACTAAGTATATGAATAAGTAAAGTAAACAAGTTCGGACTCGCAAAAGAATTAAAACAGTCACGTAAGTCGCTTAAATAGCGAATAAATGACTCAACAGTCTCTCGATTAGCTTGGAATTTGGAAGAACCACAGTAGGTGTCTCTATACAGCCATTTTTTTGTGAATCGATCTTTTCTACCCTTCTCACTTTCCATTCTCCTCACCTGGGTTCTACCTCTTTGGCAAGAGTTACTTCGCCATTCTGTGATATTCCTTGCTCTGACAGTTTCTAATCTTTGTGTGCTAGTATTTGACGTTTCATATGGCTCAACAGATATTCGTCTTTAAATAACTAGCAGGGCATGTCTATAGCTTTAAGTATGTCCTGCACATTATGAGTAACTCTCTTCTTTACTGAGGTGGTATATAATTCGGGTCTTTTGAGACGTCACTTCTACTGTTACCCACTGAAAGCAATCGTAGTTGCCGATACTCAGAGTACCAACGCGATTAAGAGGACCAATCGATATTTCTTCGCCAGACCTTTGGTTGTATTGTTGCAGCAATAGTGTGACGTATACCCTCTTATTAACCCGGTAATAGTTGAAATAAGGAAGAAAAGACGTTCGATACCAGTTCTCTTTCTTAATTAACACGATGTAAATTAACACAACAGACTTTACACGAAGGAAGGATGGTTGAGTCGTAATCCACCACCCCCTTAACGAAGAATCATACCAAATTATGCCAAACAACGAAGGATGGGACTGCAACTCAAAGAAAGCCTCACTTTCTATAAGCTGCCAGAGGGCACGCCTTATAAAAAATCAAGTATAAACTCAGGAAGAAGTTCAAATATGAGAAGGCACTAACTTGAGTGAGAAGAAGAGAAAAAAAACTTAATTTTGTCTTTTAGTCTTCGCCAGCAATAGCCAAGTAGGTTTCCGTCTATTCTCCAAGAGCGTCCCCTTAAGGGCAGGTTGTTGGCTACTACTATATTGCTTGCGGCCTTTGACGTCTCATCGCGGCAGGGTCTTCAACAATTTTTGCTGGAGCTAAACCATTAAGAATGACAGTATTTCGTCATACAAATAAGCTAGCGGTCTTATATTCTGCAACTTCTTTAATTCCTGTTTTAAAATCACCACATTTTAAGATTCTCCTAACAGCTCTTCTTTGAAATGCCATTTTGAATATCCCGATCAATTGTTCATAGAATGTTCTCTACCAAGTAGCATACTTCGTTATAAATCTCTGTATTATACCTTTGCTAGCATAAAAGAAGTACACGTCTTTACTCGCTGCCAACTCC